CAGTTATCAATGAACCTTTTACTATGATGGAACTCGAAAAAGTACTTAATATAAAAAAGACATCAGCCCCTGGTGAAGATGGCTTGATATATACTGTGTTTCAAAACCTTCCAACAAGGGCTAGGAAAACATTACTCTGTCTTTATAACAGAATATGGTCTTCTGGGACGATTCCGGAACAATGCAAACATGCAATGTTGATACCAATATTAAAACCAAATAAAGACTCCTCCCAACTAACATCCTACCGACCTATCTCATTATTACCTTGCTTTATCAAGATATTAGAAAGTATGGTAAAGGAGAGATTAGAATGGTACATAGAGAAAAACGAAATTTTGAGTAGTATACAACATGGTTTTAGAAAAAAGAGAAGCTCAATAGATAACTTAGTACATTTAGAAAATGAAATTCAGAAATATCTATTTGTGGGTATGAAAACCATAGTCGTATTTATTGATCTGGCCAAAGCCTATGATACTCTCTGGACGAAAGGATTAATCGTCAAGTTACGTAGAATTGGTCTCCAAGGAAACATATTGATTTTTTTGAGAAACTACTTGTTGAACCGTACCTTTCAAGTGCAAATAGGTAATGCCAAATCGGCAATTACGCATCCTGAAAACGGTTTACCCCAGGGCAGCATTTTGAGCTCCCTCCTTTTTAATATAATGATAAGTGACATACCTTTGAGACCAGATATACATAGCTTGATTTATGCAGACGACATCGTAATTTGGGAATCAGGCCATGATGTAAAACAAAATATCCAGAACATACAACAATATCTAAACTCCTTGAACTCATGGCTCAATCCATTTGGACTTATTATGTCGGTAGAGAAAACGACTCCTATCTTATTTTCGAACAATACAAATGATGATAATTACGAGTTATATATAAGAGGTCAAAAGTTGACACCACATAAAGAGCACGAGTATCTCGGCGTCACATTTGACAAACGGATGACTTGGAGACCTCATTTATTAGATATTAGTAAAAGATGTAAAGGAAGGATTAATGTTATCAAAAGTCTAGCATACGCCAAGTGGTCTGGAGATGCTAAAGAACTAGTGATGATATATAAAGCATTAATACTATCAATTATCGACTATGGTTGCGAAGCATACAACTCGGCTACGACAAGCGCAAAAAATATGTTGAACTCAGTTCAGTACCAATCGTTATTTGTTTGTGCAGGCGCTCGGAAAGGTACATCCCTTAAAACGCTGCAAGTCGAACTAGGCGAAATGCCTTTTGATTTAAGGCGAGAAATGTTATCAATTAAACTAAGAAAACGAATCGAGAGTATGCGCAAACACCCTCTGAACGAAGATGTGAAAGATTGTTGGCAATTTAATATTCTTGGAGGTACTAACTCTAGATTAGCTTTTGGACGTAGAACCAAGGATTGTACATTAAAATTCAGTTACATACTAGAAGATCCAATGAAGTATTTTTTCAACACACCCTTTTGGAAAATACTCCCTCCCCATGTGTCATCAGAGCTAAAAGAGGTAATAACGAAAACAGATATCTGTTTTGCCCAAAAACAAGCAGCCCTAGAATTGATAAATTCGAAATGGACAAATTATTTACACATATATACAGATGGATCAAGATCGCCAGATAAAGACTCTGCTGCTGCTGCATTTCATGTACCTTATTATGATGTTTCTCAATCTAAGAGACTGGCTAAGTACACATCGTCTTATAGAGCAGAGATGGCCGCAATTGTACTTGCCCTGACATGGCTATTACAACTCCCAGGACTCTACACCGGGGCAGTCATCTTTTCTGATTCTTTGAGTTCACTCCAGGCCATAGAATCTCGTAAAGACGAATCTTTCATTCTTGAAATTTTAACCCTGTGTAGTCAACTAAAATACAAGGGCACCCAGGTCTATTTCGAATGGATTCCCAGTCATTGTGGTCTACAACACAATGAGATAACAGATAAGTTTGCTAAAGCAGGACTAAATAAAAATATAGAAATCAACAACGCTCTTACCAGAGCAGAATCAAATTATTTTATAAAGAAATACTACATAGAGATATGGCAAAAAAGATGGAATGAAACATCATCCCCCCTACGGGAAACGCAAACTCTAGTATCAAAAACATTTGTGTGTTACCTGAACAACAGATATCATGAAACTATTCTTCATCGCCTAAGAATGGGAAACTTAGGTTTAAATAATAATCTTTTTGAGTTGAATCAACATGAGACAGGACATTGTCCAAACTGTGAGCACCAAAAAGAAACAGTTAAACATTTTTTATGTAAGTGCCCACTCTTTCTTATAGAGAGAGCCATGCTTATAACAGAATCTGGAATAGAAAACGAAGAATTAATCCCAATACTCCTAAAATCAACAGATATTAATCACCAACAGGCTCTGGTTAACTTCGTAGTTAGATCTAAAAGGGTACACCTGTACCCCTACTAACCACCTTGCACCGCACATAATTATTTGAGCCCAATATGTTTCGCTTTTTATAGTGAGTATACATGTACATGAAGAAGAAAAGTGAGAAAGAAAAAAAAAAAAAAGGAAAAAAAAAAAATTAGAAGAGAGAACTGTCTATATTAACGTTTAAAATCTTCATGTATCATGATCTGTTTTTTTTTATTTTTTGGTTTTCGGTCAAAATTTTGAAGAAACACGATGGAGACGACTAGACATATTGGTGGACGTCGGAGGGCCTAGGCTCAGCATTAGGCTGAGTTGAGAAGCTTGTCACTACGTACCGTGTCCGAGTTGGTCCTTGGGCGTCCTATATAGCCGATAAGCCTTTTGCTCGCCAGCCACTGATTTCTTCATCATTAAATAAAAGTTTAGCTTTTAAAAATCCAATTTATCCAAATCTATATATCAAAAAAAGTAAATCTAATTTTAAAGGAATAAAAATCCTGAGAGAAGAGGCGTAAATATTCACTTCTGAATGAAAAACGCCTATAAATTAAAACAACAACAACAACAGTTCTTCCACAGGAATAAGATGATGGGGTCTTAGTTTTGAAGAATTTTAAAAAGTTTTGAAATAACCGGGTCTGGAAGAAAAACTACACTCTAAACCCATGCTTTATTACCAGGTCTTAGTTTTGAAGATGCAGGGGTCTTAGTTAATTTTTTTTTTTTTTTTTTTTTTTTTTTTTTTTTTTTACTTTTGAATAACCGTGTCTGGAGGAACGACTATCCTTGATTCTCATGTTATTCCACAGGAAAAGGATTATGGGGTCTTAGTTTTGAAGATTTTTTAAATGTTTGAAATAACCGGGTCTGGAGTAAAGACTGCGCGCTATACCCATGCTTCATTACAGGGTTTTATTTTGGAACAAATTCGACAAAATATCCCTTCAAATTTATTACATTTGTGGGTAAAGCCATTATTACATTTGTGGGTGATTCAAAATTATTACATTTGTGGGTATAAAGTGGTTATTACATTTGTGGGTGAAATTATTACATTTGTGGGTGAAGTGTTATTACATTTGTGGGTGTTATTACATTTGTGGGCGTTATTACATTTGTGGGTGTAACAACCTCAATACGAGATGACGAAGACCAGTTTCCCCCAAATTGCTACATTTTACAAATTCCAAACTATCTTAATCGTGTATAGTAAACAAATATACCATGCACTGAGAGGCTCTAGTTGAAATTATGGATCGAGGTGGCAGGAATAGCACTATTTTCTGAGGGGCATAGCCCCGAAGAAAATAGTGTTTTTTCTGTCGCCGAGGAATCCATAACTTCACTAGTGGCTTGAAATAGTGCATGATATATTTGTTTTACATTTTTCAAACCAAACTTTATAAAAAAAATAATGTTCGATGCTGATAATAATAATAATGTTAACTGTCACTGAAAAAGTGTAGAGTGCAGTGAGAGCAGCGCGGATGACCGAGACCGATAGCACACTGATCTTGATCGATCGCATATACATGACGTCATCCATGGTATAGTGCCATGGTATAGTGCACTATACCATGGATGACGTCACGGTTGCATTATAGCAATGTTATGTTAGGTCACATGATGCTATGTTGACCCAAAATATAATAACAACAAGTACAGGGTCTTTGGATGCCGTTGGGATTGGCACGCGCACCTCAGACTAGAGGCATCTTCACACTATAATTTAGTGTACAGTAGTAGAATCAAGAATAAAGTTAATACCGATTTAACTGTAGCTTAGTTTATTTCAGTTAGTTTGAGTTATATTATTACGTGTTATATATATATATATATATATATTGTGTCATGTTCGGTTTCATTTATACGAACTAGATTAGTTGTATTTACGGGAAAAGACATAGAGATTAATATCAATGCTTAATGAGTTGCATTAATCACAGTGTTCAAGTGTGACACATTATTGAATGTTGATCATACATTCATTATAATTCTATTTCTATTGCTTTATAGTGAACCACTCACTCGTGTACACCACATATACTCAACGTTCGTTTTACTTATTGCTACATAATATTCGTTGTTCTACGTTACATTCTTCTCAGCAACCATCCCGGCTTCAATATAACAACAAAATATTCATTTGAATTCATATATGAACAACCACTTTATAAAGTGCATTGTATAGGCCATCTACGGTAATTTAATTATAATCAATTATTATGATACTAATCCTACTCATGTTACTTCTACTACTACTACTACTTATAATAATAATGATAATAATATCAATGATAATGATAAATGTATATAATAATTATTATAGGGCTAATATAATGAAATAAATATTCTAAATGATAAGAATAGTAAGGATGATGATGATTGTGATGATGATAGTGATAGTTATAATGATAATATTAATAGTTATAATCATAAGCATAATTTTAAAAATCCCCCATATTTTTCCCTCCACAGGGATTTTATTGATTTTCATTTGAAACAAATTAACAAAATATATTCAAGGTAATTTACATTTATAACATAAATAAAATTGGCTTTTCAAAATACAAATATTGTTGAACTGTTGAGTTAACAAAAATTTATTTCCCATATTCATGGAAGAAAAACAAATACAGAAAAAAATTGTTTGAAGTAAACAATTCCTGAATTGAAACCATTTTCTTGTTAGCATGCAATTGAGTACTCATTATGGTATCCTTATATTGAGAATAGTATTTTCGTAACGGCACCGGAAAAATTACGTAATGCTTTATTAACTGAGTGTCAAGTTACTTGTCAAATCAGCATACATCGAAAGTGTAGCCTTGTGGGCGGAGTTAATTTCTCCGAATGAATTATAGGAGAGTAGCAAATTTGTCTGGACTGATACCGGTATACAGAATGAGAGGCAAGGACTACTATCACCAGTATAGCACTGAGGGTGTGATATTTTCTCAGCTGATTGTTTGCATGACACGAAAACACTCCAGGCTGTGGACAAGTCAATGACGAGAACCTAGATATCGTCTTTTTTTAGTTATTTTCGCCCAAAAGAAGCTATTTCTCTCTTTTTTTCGCTGAAGACATCTGAGACAAGTATTTCTCAAATGCCATCATTTTGCTTTACACTTTTCCTGATGATTGGTTTTTTCCTGATGCTTTATTGGTGTCAATAAAGGTTTTATCCACCCAATGCGCCATGTTCTTTCCTTTGAGGGACGACTGAATACCTTTGTGCTGAAAGATAGAAGGTTTTCTAATGTACTTCTTTTGCTGAGCATTCAAATCTTTGAACTTACTGAAAAGCCAATCGACGGGTTGATCCTGATAGAAAAACAAGATAAACTGTGCAAGCCTATCCAAGTCGTATGCACGCAACAGTTGTCCAAAGGTACCCAAGCTAGCGAATTCCAGTATCACCCATTTAACGTTGCTCTTTTCCCGAATATACGTGCGAATAGCTGTAATGTATCCTTTTACCGTAATAACGTCGTCTTCCATGTGGAGGTAGTACTCTGAAAGACCACTGCCGTAAATGAAAGTGTAAGCAATGTCAACACATTGTTTTGAGCGCCAGCGGACTCTGGTCTCTGAATCTCCATAATTGGACTTGAGATTTTTTAGGGAAGGGTAAAAGGACGCCGGGGCCTGGATGACTTGGATGAATCCACTTTCTAGATATGGAAGGTATTTGTCTTTTATCATATCCCTTAATATGGAGCGCTTCTCGTCCTCAAAGTCAGCAAGGAAGATGAGGAGAATGGCAGCAGAGCGTTCCTCAGGAGATGAATTTAGAATTAGAGAATCCAGCGTTTGAGACAGATAGTTATCCGTTTCCCTAAGGACTGTAGGTAAGCCTATCGTCAAAAAATCTGAAAACAAAATAATAAAACATTATATATTACAAAATGATTTAGGAAGTGAATGAATACACCCCACATACATTATAAATAATTCAATATAGTTTGGGTTTTTTTTTTTTAATAAGGCGGTGTCACACAGAGGCCAAAAATCTGGATTTTAGTTATCCTATGAATTGCAATCTGACAGTTTGTCTTCAATTATCTCATTAAAAATCCTCTAACGAAGCAAGAAAATTCGCCCTTGAAAAGATTTTCAAAGAATTTTTTCTGTCTGACACCAACGTTGAAATAGTCCCTTTAAAGGTCAGTGTAAGGTCAACGTTTGATTTAATGATTGGATGGCATATGATTTTTAACGCGCTATCAATGCCAATGAAAATGACAATTTATTCTCATGTCACCCACATTGGGGTATTGGAGAAGTTTACAATCAGTTTGAATTTGTCAATTTAACACTGTAAAATAAACAATACAAATAGAATTAATGTTAAGCAATACTAAATAACACTTACGACAATAGTGATAACAATTATGATGATAAATATAATAACAATATTGATGATGATAATAATAATATTTATTTATTTATTTATTTATTTATTCAAGTTTTATTTAAAATAGAGGGTAGGTACATTCAGTTTAACAAAACTGCTTTCCAAGTACGCCCTGTATTAATAATCAAAAACAAAACGATAATATTAATTAAAACGATAATTAATTACGAAATTAATGCAAGCTATTGAAAAAGAAATTTACTGGCACCAGTAAATTGATATTTGAATTAATGAATTACTGGAAATATTCTTGACATCAATTTAATAAATTGATATAAGACAAAGAAGAGAAACATAAAGTTAATATTGAACTCATAACATGTTTTTTGCACATACTTAAATTAATGAAAACGAAGCATTATTTTTCGACAGAATTTTACTAAGTTTAAACGTGTTTGTACATTATTGGAGTTAAAAAGCTGATCCATTTTCAGTGTGTTTGGTCTTTCAATAAAATATTTATCGATGAACAATTTTCTGTCTGAACGAATGTAGGGCATACAAACAAGTAATGAAACTCATCCCCAAGTGATTGCAAATTGCACAGCGTGCATAGCCTCATTTCCCTTGGAGTATTGGAATATTGTTATTATCATTATCATCATAGTTTTTCTCACTATTGTCGATAGTGTTATTTTTATTGATTAACATTAATTATATTTGTATTGTATATGTTACAGTGTTAAATTGACAAATTCAACTGATTGTAAACTTCTCCAATACCCCAATGTTGGTGTCATGAGAATAAATTATCATTGTCATAAATTGTCATTGTCATTGTCATTGCGCATTACTTTTGATTGAACGTGTGATGTCACAATGCTTATATCTACCTTAACGGCGAATGCGCAATGGCCCATCAAAAATCCGGATTTTAGTTATCCGGATATTTCGTAGCCTGTCTGTCACCAGTCTGTCACCGACGTAAATGAAAAAATAGATTTCTAAAATCTGGTTTAATCAAGATGGGTCGGGATTTTCTGTGTGACACCGCCTTATATATACAACAAGGTTAGAAGGCGAGAAATCCAAACAAGCCCTAATTTAGAAAAAGAAAACGAAAAGAGAGAAAAAAAATAGAAGAAAAACAAATCAGTTGTTTTTGTTTGCTATTAAAAGTTAACCCCTTATCCCTTTAAGATAAAGTTGTGTTCTGGTCATGATTGCATTTTGAAAGAAAAGATGCGGAATGGATCAGAAAAAGCTGATCATGTAGCATTTAAGTATTAGTGTGTACTGCAAGGTTCTGGAGTTATCAAAATCATAATAAATTTGGCCCAGTCGAGGTAAAGTAACAAGCACTGTACACAAAAAGATGTATATGGGACTACACAAATGGTGTCGAGCCTACTTTCCTTGATTTCCTTATCGTTCTATGCAGTACACATTTTCTACCAAAATTGTTTGGCAAATGACATTTATTTGTAATCTTGAACATTATGCGTAAGTTTCGTTTGATTCTGTGAGAATTCATTTTCTTTTTTTTACTAGAACTCAAGTTTATCTTTAACAGATGTTGATCCCGATATATGATTTTAGACTCGTATGATGATTGCTCTTGTCTCACTCCCGCCAGGGGCGTATCTACGAGGGGGTAGGGGTTTTATCCCCCCCCCCCCCCCCCCCCACTGAATATAATTCAAATATACGATATGATAAAACTTAAGCTTAGTGTTTATACACATTTTAATGCCCGTAGTCTCTCTTTAAACTTTGAAAATATTCACACTTTTTTTTTGTATGCACTTACATTAAAATTCTCTCTTATTGTTAGACCAGAAACTTGGATTTGTGGTACCTCTAATGTTCCTTTTCATTAAGATGGTTTTACTTTTATACATTCAGATATAGTAAGCGGTAGGGGAGGTGGTGTTGCATTATTTGTAAAAGAAGATATTATATGTACTATTCTCAATGATTCATTTGAATTTTATGACGATTCTATTTCTAAATATTTATTTGTAGACTTTGTGTTTGTACTAATCTTTAAATATACAATGGGTGTTGTTTTTAGAAAACCTAACTCTATCATTGAGAATTTTTACAGATTTGTAATGATGCACTTGGTACTTTATCGCACGGAAATGTTGTTATAGCCGGTGATTTTAATGTAGATCTTCTTTAATTTCATAATGCCCAAGTGATTAATTCTGACGCTAGTAAATTTGTAAATATAAATGCCTCAATTGGGCTTCATATAATTTGATTACTATCCCAACTCGTATTAGAAGTAATAGTGTGACATTAATTGATAATAAATTTAATAATGTGACAAATTGCAAATGCACAAGTGGAACAATATTGACTGACATTACTGATACTACCTAGTGGTTCTGCATCTTGGTTGATGAATAAGTCAACCCATTCACGACAAGATATCGAAAATTCCTATACACTTTGTACAGGGCCCACCCGGTTCTCGTAAGTAACGGGTTAAGAGTGTAGAGATCGTCGGGGTTCAAGAAGGAAGTCACGGCAGCGACTTGACGTCAGGAGCCTATGACCCCTGTTACACATGCGTCGGCTTTTAAAGCCGGCCCCGGAGGCGGCCTCACACCTGCAACTTGAAGCCGCCTCGAGATCATCGAACCCCTGTTACACATAATCTCGGGCCCGCAATTTTGTGTCTACACATAGGCCGGCCTCACGTCTCCTTTTCACGAGCTGACGTTGGGGCGCACTCCAGAAGACAGAAAGAGAAAGTGATATTGATAAAGACAAAGAGTAACATAAGAGAAGGTGACAGAAGGAAGAAACAAAGATTAACACAAGGAAAGACAGAAAGAGAAAGTGATAGAATGATAAGAACAATGAATAACATAAAAAAAAGTTGGCAAAGCGCGCCCGATGTATTATGTTGATATATGATGACAGGTCACGTCACTTCCGCTTATAACTTAAGCCGGCCCCGAGTCCACTTTGGTGTTACACCTACTGATTGCGGGACTGAGTCCGGAATTGGGCCGGCCTCAAACCACATCCAGAGGTGGACTGGGTTTTACACGTACGTCGAGCCGCCTCCGGCGCCGGCCTCAGTCCACTAACAGACGTATGTGTAACAGGGGTATGTGGAAAGGTGAATAGGAGACTCACACGACGGTCCCAAAGAGGACCACGACCAAACTGGTCCAAGGCTCCATGATAGGAATCGTATCCGCCGAAATCAATCGGACACACACGTTTCTGGACCATTTCGATGTCATCGGATTGTCGAGCAGTAAGGGATGATATGCATTGCATAAATTGCTATCAAATCAGAAGGTCGGGATTTTACATTTTTTTAGTCAACACAGAATAAAGAGACGTCTGCTAGCCTTTGAAACCTTCGTCAAAACATTGGTATCCCAATTTAGATCAGATTGAAGAGTGACACCTAATAATGTCAAATTTGTTAACCACATCCAATCTGCTATAAGCTATTTGAAGTGCTGGAAACGCTGTTTGTTTCAGGAATGATATATTCATGACACAACTCTTTGAAGGAATGAGCCTCATGTCATTACAGTATCGCATCACTTGACGAGCTGGTCAAATTGATCTTGGAATACGGAGGGCTCTCTTGATCGGCGGAATTCTGCTATGCTCCGGTCATCAACATATTTCCACCTGTATTTGTTTTCGACTTAGGCGTCGTTTATGATAGCAAGAAAGAGCACGGGGCCCAGTTTCGTAACCTGAAGAACACCGGATGTTATACTCAGGTCACTGGATATCGTTTTATTTATTTATTTATTCATACTTTTTTTGCATTTGATATTTTGGTATTAAACTTTTTGGTATAAAAAACTACAAATGACCAGTTTCAGGGCAGGTTGAAGACCATAATCGATTAACTTTTTTTAACAACGACGTTAAACATTGCACTCAAAGCTGTCCACCGACCCGGCTTGTCGAGATCCTTGAAGATAGGATTCAAGAGACTAAAAAGGTAGTGCAAAGTAAATGTATCAGCGACATTTCTAAATTGCTTTTGATCTATAACGGGGAACTTAGAGATGAAGGTCTCCATCACTCGTGAAAAGATACCCGTGAAGGATATCGGTCTTAGATTCGATAGTTGTGTAATTTGCAGTTTCTTTGGGATAGGGGTAATCACAGCTCTTTTCCAGCTAGAAGGATAAATACCCATGCGAAGGATAATACCGACAGGGGCTTAGAAAGTTGCAACGCAATACCGGGATATCACTGGACAAGGTGGCCTCAGACGCATTCAGACGTCGCAAGATATTGTCAACCTCATGAGCATAGATGGTAGGTGGTGCCGAAGAGGATCTTGGAGGTAGGACGGCAGAGATGCAGGGTCGAATGTCGGGAGTTGACTACAGACATCAGAGAAATGGTCGTTAATCCTAGTAGCCTTTTGTGACTCATTGTTTCCAAGGCATGGTTGTAGGCTAAATGATGGTTTGGAGACCCCAGCCATGTTTCGGATTTGACGATGCTTCTGAAATGATT